GTTGTATGCGTGTTAAGCGTCGTACTTTTTTAAGCGCTGAATTTAATAGCTTCTAATGTCGACATAACGTAATAAACAGACATCCAAACTGTTTCTCTTTCGATTCAAATGAATTACCTACAGCGAATGTACATTCCGTGAGTTAAATAACATTTATTTGCCCTGTACATCAATTACTTTGATAAATTGTTAGTAGTAAGGTTTATGTGTGTTTAGGCTCAATTAAAACGCGCCAATACGTTTTTCTAAAAGCGACCAAATCCAAACAACAATAATAAAGGGAGATCTTTAAACACTTTTATCAAATAGACATAGACATAGGAGTATGTAATGAAAACGATTTTCCCTGTTAATCGCCACAATATTTACATCAATTTATAAAGTAATTATCGTGAAAGAAGATATCTAATCGGTTTTTCGTTAATAAAATAAAATAAATATTTCCAATACTCACACCAATTAGCCTAGCCCCAAGGTAAGCACTATAAGGCTTGTGTTATGGGATGCTAGGGTAACGGATAGAATACATATACTGTACATATATAAGTATATTTATTTAGAAATAAATATTAAACATCCATGACCGGAGTACAAATGCTCGTATTCATCACACAAACATCTGCCCCCACCGGATTCGAACCCAGGATCTCTAGAGTCGGCGACACCATGAAACCCGGCGTACAAACCACTCGGCCACGGAGGTCGTCAATATATTTGTAACATAAAATCTTAGCTTAAAATCTATAATGACCTGCTATGTTTTGCGGCTGAACTACTGTAAAACTCGTACAATATGCATCAAACTATTTTAGAGTTCGGTACAGTAGGTGACATTCCCTTGTGCGCGATTATGAGAATAAGGCCACCCACTTACATAATCATAACTTATCAAACTCTAGTGCAAGCGAATAACATCTCAAAATGCTAGGATATTCATCATCATCATCAGCCTATTAATGTCCCCGCTGCTGGTGCACAGGCCTTCCCTATGGATGGTTTAGGGAGATAGGGCCCTGACCCTCCCCACGGGCCCAGTACGGATTGGCGAGTGCTAACGACTGCAGATGCAGCCGGTACCAACGGCTTCACGTGCCCCCCGAAGCACGGAGGAACTCGAGATAGAAGATTTTTGGTTACTCATCCAATGACCGACCACTACGAAAGTTGCTGAACTTCAACGATCGCAGCCGAACGCGCTAACCACCTGCGCCGTCGAGCTCCTACTATCTTAAAATAATTAAGTTTTGTTACATTATGTCTACAGATTTATATATCCTAGTGTTAATAAATGTATGTCATCTCAAATCAGTTGAATGAATTATATGAATATTGGACAGCAAGAACATTGTTGGAACGTAATCGGAATAATGGAACAAAATAGCATAATCATCTTTTGTGATATGAAATTCTGGAACATTACATGTATACGCAAACACGTTAATTGTCATAGTAAATGCAATTTAAGTTCCGTTCGTTGACTACCATTTGATACCTATAGATGAAAAAAATTGGGGCCTGCTGAGGAGAGCTCTTTTAAAAATTATCAGGGTTTATTTACGATTCTTTTTTTAATGTTAAAAGGGTGGCAAACTAGGATATGGCCCGCCTGATGGTAAGCGGCCACCATAGCCTATAGCCGCTTGCGATACCAAAAATATTACTCGCGCCGTTGCCTATGTTGACCTAATGCCCTAGCTCTGGCACTTTACTCGCCGAGATAGCACCATACCAACACCACCAAAAGGTAGTGTAATTTTACTGTGGTCCTATGTAAGGTGGAGGTTACTTCCCCGGACGAAGGGAGCTCCAATTGGAACGGAAAATAGCCCTCCTAAAATACCGTAAGTCTTCAGATGGAGAAACATCGTGGCCTCTACTGAGGATAGGTCTTTTAAAAATTCTCAGGGTTCATTTACGTTTCTAAAGAACATACAGATGCAGAGGATGTCACAGACGAAGGCTTGTCAACTATAATAGTTTCGTGGTGTCGTAATATCGTTCAAGTGTTGCACTACATTAGACGCAGTGTCGACTTTCACTTGCGTTTTTGTTTGTCGTCCGCTGATTTTTTTTGTAAGATTTACCACACTTCTGAGGTTTTGCGGGCAACATTTTTATTAAATTAACTGGAAATGCTGCGGGTATCAGACAATACGGTCGTCGTTTTGATGATGTCTTGCTGTAGTGTTCCATTTTATAAATAATAGGGATGATGACTCCCTTTCTTTTCTTTGTCAATTAGGTAGATTATCAAAAAGTATTGGACACGCATTTTTACTTTATTCACATAGCAATCGAAGCATTACAGGGATATCTTCATTTGAAATGTCGCATGAGGTCTCGTCTTGGCACAATTTATTGTAGAAGTGACATCGGAAGCCCTCACTCCCAAACTTTGAAGAGTCTATCTTTGTAATTTTTGGTTGATTGATAAAATAAAAACAACTGTTTATTATTTTTAGGTAATGTAACTGATGGACTAAATAGAATTTCGTTTAATATACCCCGTCAACATCGCTATTTTTTCATACTCTGTATTTCTGTACTCTTCAAAAGTGTCGGCTAAACCAATAACTGTTTACAAATCTAGCTTTATCAAAATACAGCACCATTAGTACGAGTTTCAGCTCGCGAAAACTATCAAAGTTTTCGTAATTGTAAATTATGTGTCTATGTCCATTTTAGTGAAAAGTAATCAAATATACTTAAAATTAAAATAGACGCAAATGATTTAATGTTAAAATATAAACACTGTGTATTTGTATTGAAACGAAAACCATAAAATCAGTACCCTTAGTACGAGTGAGAAGTCACGAAAACTATCATAGTTTTCGTAATTGTAAAACTCGCACTAAGGACTACTGATCGTCCACCTTCCGATGAGGAAAACTTCCGGCTGCATTTATCCACCAGTAGCCTCCAGAACAATGGATATCTGATCACGCATCGCGGCGAGTATCAAGTAACGCGTTAGTACCACCAGTGTCGTGACCTTCGCGAGTTGCAGCGAGGCCGTCGGCACACTTTCAGCACTTCAGTTCAGCCGCCCTGTATGCAACCAGCCAATCATGCTGTAACCGCTTGCATCGTTTCTATTTCCTTCCAATTTTAAAACTAATCTACCCAAAAGGCTTTTTGTTTATTTTTTAACCTTTTCTATTTTTCGACTGGCCAATAATTTATTGTCTGTGCCTGTTATTTTCTAAGCCTGCGCGAAATGACACTTGTTTATCAAAGCATTCGAAATTCTAATGTTTTATTCGTGCTTTTTTTAGTTGTGCGTAATCTTATCGAGAATATAATTTGCAGCGTTAATGGAAATGGGTATATATTGGAATCATAAAATTTATTAATATCTAGTTAAAATGAAACCGTTTATTTATATTGCTGCCTACAAACTGTTGTACAGTTTAGCAAATATGTACAAATTCGAATGTAAATAAAATAATAGAAAAAATCGAAATAGTGAGTAAATGAACCAATTTCTAAGTTTCTAAGTTATCGTCAAAGTTATAAAAACCATTTACATTGATTGATAACAAGTTACAAGCATTTGTTTGTAAATCTCGATATCGTCGAATTGTTTATTCAATAATGAGAATTTGGGATAAAGTATTATATTAGTTGTAATAACAATAATTATGGTTTGTCCTATCTAATTAATTTTCTTTGCGAATGCAATGAAAACGATTTTCTTAAGTTTTACCTATCGCGTGGGAAAATTCCAAAAAAAGCAACAGCTCTTCTGTCTTACCCTGAAACGGTTACAAGGTTACATCGTGAGTGAATAATAGTGGCGCTCTCTGGCTGGCCATTGACCTCTCAACTGGATGGAAGACTTGCTTTCATTAAACATTCAGCTGAGCATATGTCTGCCTACATACTGAAAATATGTAGACTTCAAACAGACAAGTTGGTCACAAGAATTTTTATCTTAAAGAGACATTGCTCATAATATAGAAGAAGAGTATGTTTAAAACATGAAGTTGCTATAATTAGGCTAAACTAAATAAGTACTGAAACTACAGTCTGTTTGCCTACCCTGCACTGCACTGCAGTACAGTAAAGCAATACAACATTTTTATTTAAATTCATGTTTTTCAACAGTATATCAAACATTACAGCGGTTAATGATTGAGGAGGTATGTCCTATCCCAAAAGTTCGTGATGCAGTAGTTCTTTAGAGCAATTACGCACGGTCGCCGGCGCGACGCGACCTGTCGACAGTGAGTATCTGCTCTTATATATGACTAGGCCACCCAGTGACTTCGTACGCGTGGAGTTAGATAGAAATAAAGGTTCACTGCTCGTTCCCCGTAGGTGATAGCGTGATAATATGGAGCCTATATATTCACCCGACTTTTTAATAGTATTCGTGCTAAATTTGAAGTAAATCCATGGTGTACTTTTTGAGTTTATCCCGGAAATACATACAGACAAACAGACAAAAAATCTTAAAACTACATTTTTGGCTTCGGTATCGATTGTAGATCATACTTGGGGTGTGGTGTACAATAGATTCTTTAAAAAAATATTCATTGTACAGTTTTGACTTGCCTACCATTTTATTATGAAATATGTAATGTAGGTATGTATATAGAATTTAAGCGGCGGGCAAAGCGTATTAGTGTGTAAGCGTAGGCCGCAAAATTCCGGGACAATCCCGGATTGTGACTGATTGATCTTGTCCCGTGTTCAGTAATTAGACCTTATAGTCCCGGATTCTGATAATGTGCTAGTTTCGTAACAAAATAAACTAATAAAGAATGACAACAAAAGCAGGCCAGCTGCTTGATGGTAGAATAAAGGGAAGTTTGATTTGATGCTTTGTTTTTTCAGGGGGTTGGGATGCATATGTCCCGGAATTGATAAGCCAGCATCTGGCAGCCCTACTTGCGATACCATGCTGGAACCTTAGTCATTCTTAAACAGACGTGTGCGACTCGCACTTTGTCGATGTTGCTAAAGTAAAGTAAGAAGATAGTATTAAATATACTCACTAGTGATATCGTAAACTACAACGGCAACGGTGGAATCCCGTATGTAGGAGGGTATGAGGGACCGGAAGCGCTCCTGTCCGGCCGTGTCCCACAGCTGCAGGCGCACGGTGCGGTCCTCCAAATACATCGTCTTTGACAAGAAGTCTATGCCGATCGTGGCCTGAAAAGTTAATTAAACAATTAACAAAACACTGTCAATAAAGATCATCGTTTATATCATCCGATCCGATGCATTATGATATGATTTACAAAGTGTGTAAAATATGTGTCCCGTCCATCTATGGTCCCGACTGTAAAAGTACGTTTGCTGTTGTTTCATAACTTAACTAAACGCGAGGTGCCATACAAATATTTATAATGCAACGCAAAAAATGTAAAAGTGCAATTAGTAATAGTTAAAATTGCAAATTTTTAACTAAGTATAACTAAAGAAAGTATAACTAGAAAAAAATCCACGCGGACCAGGCAGCAGACGGGACTCGAACCCGCACCCTTCGCTATCCGGGCGAATGCACTGACCAATTATGCTACCGCGGGCCTGATAGCCGCGTATAAATCCTTCTAGCCATTCGCTAGACGCTGCTGCCTGGTCCGCGAGGTTTTTTTTCTAGTAATATTTTCTTTAGATTTAAACATCAAGCAGTTACATGCTTAAAAAATAAGAATTATAAGTATAACTAGTTTTGAATACTTCGTATTATCTTTATCTTATTTATTGTCTTAGTTCTAATAAAGATATTGATCGAAATTTCGGCATTAACATCAATTTTCGACGCGATCCCTAAAGGAAGATTCGCTGTTCCCTAGTGAGCTAAAGCTCCCAATTTATGGACTCGTGACGAGTAGTGTTTTCGGCATTTTAGGAACGCTTGCTTCGGGGCGCACTCACGTGCAGGTACTTTATTGATTACTTATACCTTCTTTCCCCCGATCATGTAAAACAACATACTAATAAATCTTTAAAAACAACTGTTTCCTTTACTTCTTTGTGGGTCGGACACAGTGCTCTTGTGAGAGAAACATGTAAGTTTTACAATTTAGACTCAGTTTAATAAAAAGAAAACTTCCACGGCAAAGTGCCGAGTGCAAAGCGCTGGCGAAAAATAATCATTGTAGTATCTCTTATTTTTTATTCATGGTAGTATACTATATCAAAATTTCTTCTTTATATAAATGTGCAACCAAAAAAAAAACGAGTGCACCTAGATAAATTTCGCCAATAATATGTAGGTAGTTTTTTAAATCATAATCAGTGTCTGTCAGAATTCTGTATTAATGCATGGCCACAAAATGTAGTTTATATTAAAAAAACTGCTCAAACGAGAGTCTAAGCTCTTTCTATTAAGGTTCCGTGCAACAAACTAATCTTATAATTAAAGCTCCCTATAATATCACTGAAATATGAAATAGTTCCGTTTCCGAGCTAGACGTCGCAAAAAACCTCGAAGGGAAAAATAATATATTTGTTTCCTTCACACTTTCAAGAATGCGATTTTAACCGGGGCCAGGCACGGTTTTTAACTGTCTACGTCTGCCCACCTAGCATGAGCACCGCGAGATGATATATAGCTCATTTTTATCACGCTCAATTGTCAAATTACTATAGACTTTGACAGTTAGGCGCAATAAAAAACGTGATATAATGTAAATTAAATTGGGGTGCTCATGCTAGGGGGACTGGTCGAGATTTTATAATGATCAATTTTACATCCTTTACTAGTTCTGATTTTGAGATAGACCCCGTGACAAAAATTACAACTTTGACCCCCCCCCCCCCCCTTTGTGAATTAAAAAAAAAGAAATTATATTAATACCCTACTCAATGAGCTCTCAGACAATGATGTGTTACATGGTGGTATCAAAAGAAAAATAAACAATCTTAACTAAATATTTTGCTTTGGGCAAACATTCTACATAAAATAACAAAATTTAAGTTCTGTAACTTATTCAGTTTACAATCTAGAGACCTGTGACATACTAACAGACAGACAGATGACAAGAGTGACAGTAATATGTCACAGGTTCATTTACACATACGCATTTTTACCCTTTTGTTACGGGACCCTAAAAACAATGAAACATATATCTGGACTGTTCTTGCTTTTTTTAAAATTAATGAGTAACAAAGAAATTTTAGATTATTTAATCACAATGTAGTAAATGATCAAATTTAGATACATAATTATCATTAAACAACAAACACTGATGCCATATTGAGATATGGCGACTAAGCCACATTTTTTTTAATTTTATATATTGTACTCAATTTAGCACACAACCAATTAAAAGCTAAATTACTGTTACTAATGTCAATTACATGTGAGGATGTTAGTATACATTATTATTATTTATAACATCACCCTATGTTACTGGCTTGCTTTTTCTTTATTTGTCCCGTCATAAACATAAAAATCCACATCAATTTAAATTTAAACTTTGTTAACTATTGTGTTACAACTTAAAGTTAAAGGATTGCAGTACATGCAAAAAACCAAAAAATTAAATTCCATGATTAAATTGAATTCATTCATAGCCAGCAGTATGGTAAATTAAAAGAAAATGAAAGGTTATTGGGCTGAATAATAATAATTTCGATACACAATTGCCAAATAAAGATCTGAAAGGGAATAATGTCTTGAATTCTAAAATAATGAATTAATCATTTGGATTAATGTATCAAGTAAACAATCACTTGTTTGTTTATAATAAATGCAAATAACTTATTAATTTACAGTGTAGTAGGTTCATTTATAAAATTTTAACACAATCAAGATGGGTAATTTTATTTACCTACAAATAAATAATTATTTAGGTACTTAATTCCATTATATGTAATTGAATTTCGCGGTAATTTGTAGGGGAGGGGGAGGGGGGGCTCCCCCCGACCCCCCTGCCATAAAAGATTTTTGGCGGAAATGCAGTTTTTTTTTACCTAACCTAAAAATTCATTAAATCTGTTTTAAGTAGTGAAATTTCAGGGGGATAGGTATTAGGGAAGACCCCTCAGAGGGAAGGGTCGTTTTTTTTACAGAAATGATAATTATAAAAAATTAGAGGGGTTTTAAAGGTAAAACTGTACTTCCAGGGCCTAGAGGTGATATTTGATTTTTTTGTAGAAAAAGTCTCTATTAACGAATTTTTCTTTCTGGCGCTTCGCCGGCCGCTCCCGCGGCACGCTCGCTTCGCTCGCTCGGCTCGCGCGTTAAGGTCACAACACTAACCTAACCTAACCTAGTGTGAAGTATCACCACACAAGTGGCTCATTAGAGTCCAAAACTCGCACTACACTCGACTCTTAAGGCGATGGGACAGCAGAACTCGAGGCCGAAGGCTTTGAGGATGCCATGGTAGTCAGACGATGTTAATATCAACAGGAGTACGAAAAAGCTCTCAACTGCGACGAACACAAACACTGACTGACAGATCTCATTAATGGCGGTAAATTGTCACATTTTGACAATAGTACCAACATAATAAACTTATATTTACCATAGACAACGAGAATCATGTTATTTTTGCATGAAAAAATGGCAGCACTGATCAAAATTGCTGTCAAAATTGACTCATAACCTACAAAAATATTAATTTTCAATAATTTTTTTCTCGAGTTCTATTCGTTTCCGCCTAAAAAGATTTCGTGTACGTGTTTTTAATAGTTAATACTTTGCGTGACAAAAATTTCAGCTTGCAACTCAATTACATATAATGGAAAGCTGAGCCATTATTTATTTTGTCACAATGGTGTTAGATGTGCAATATTATATGAGTTACATAAAATGGGCAGTTAAAGATTTTTATTCGCTATTGAATTAAAATAGTAACTAAAAACTGTAAAATTAATCTTATGAGGTAATTGCTAGGTAATTAACTGATTTAGGGTCACAAAATAATACAAACACAAATTTTGCATTGTTGATAGTGATAACCAATTCAAAGCAACAACAGATAATCTGGCTGAAGTGTTTAACCTGGCTGGATGACTAATCATGAGGTCATAGTAAGAGAAAGTTCATAAAACTACACAGGTATTATTTGCTACTGGGCACCTATTAACCATGACTCACCTGATAAGTGTTGTCAAAACTGTCATACATGAACCTAGTGATGAGTGAAGTCTTTCCAACTGGAAAAAAAAGTTACATGTCAGTGAACCTATTAGCTGTAAATGTTCAATAAAAAAATAATTGATAACGGGTACAGCACTGTATTATGCGTGAGAACAGTTTAGAGACGGTTCAACGCTCATATTGTGCTAGGAGAACGTAACCTACATCACAAGTTAATGAATTTTGGAGTACGACGGCCTTAACGATCCTGAGCAAAAAGATCATACGCCTCGTAGTAGATCGTCAAGTTACGACCCAAGGGGCATATATAGGTCAGTAATTCGATAAAGTCTAGACGAATCTATACTTACGTATCGTAAATTCCAAACTGTATATTAAAAATGTACGACAGAAGAGCAATAATTCGCATGAACTTACCGCTCTGTTCTCCGAGGAAAACCAGCTTAAATTTACGTAACGGATTACCAAATTCACCAGACGCCGACATTATGAGTTTGTAAATTATTTTTCTTAACTATAATTTCACAGTAAAAGTCCTTATCACAGAAAACTACATGAACAATGACAGCTCAAAGCCACTCCTGCGGCACACACACGAGCGTAGCGCGCCGCCACGTTACGGCAGACTGACGGCGCGGCTCGCAAGCCAACTCAGCAAAAAATAGCTTATCTCTTTGTATTAAAAAGGCTAAGAATTTATTAAAATTAAACAATATAAAGATATTAGGTAATGATTTGCCGTGCTGTGTTTTTTCAATATTTTATTTGACAGTTATAATCTACACAAATAACAATTAAATTCCTGAACGCAAGTCAGACTTTTTTTTTTAATTTATTCATGACCTGGATACAGAGAAGTCATAGACTACGACATATATGTTGCCAGACGAGGAAATTAAAAACGCGGTTCCAAAGTGAAACTTACGATTTGATTTGCACCTCATTTATTTGACAGGACAAATCTTTACAATCTTCAATTCAGTTTCCTTTACAATGCAATTGCATGGATTTTAGTAAAACAGGATCAAATAATAGCTATTATAATTTATCGATAATATGATCGGGATGACTGAAATATATAGTATGGAGGCCTTTTGTCACTTTCAAACAGAATGAATGAATAGATTTTCTTTTTCAAATTAACTAGGTACTAGCAAACCAGTGAACCAAATGTTCACCAAAACCTGATTTCTCGAAAACCGGAAGTGCTACGTTACTCAAATCCGGTTTGTAGTCTTAAGAGACTATTCTTAACTTATAACTTAAATATTCTCTTTATCTATCTCTTACGGTTTGGCCGCTGAATCAGCACCACAGACAGACGGACGGACTTGTCTAATAGATATCATTTGTTTTGTTATCTTACTTCTAAAGTTCGACATTACTGCTATCCAGCGAAGAAAAGCAGAACTTATTGGCGCCACGTCATTTTAGTTTCCTTAAGGTATTGTAGTGGCGCTGTTAGCGTCCCGTCAGCCTGTAATGCTCTCTGCCCCGCCCGCCACAAAAGGAGTGGGTTAACTTTAACAAATTCCTATTTCCTCTTTGTTTCAAACAGTTTCTCGTTCTTTTTTTCCATCATCCTTATTACACCTGCAACACTCTAAGGCTCGTATTACAGAATGACAACTAAGTGTTGATCTTTACTTGAGTACAGTTAGAAAGGGATGTCGTTCTGTATAGCACATAGCACCATCCCTTTCTAACTGTGCTCAAGTAAAGATCGACACTTGATTTCCTGGAGCAAACTCCTGTACAGCATCTCATTGAATTTTCTCCGTGGGCGCAACAACAGAAGCGAACTGTACTTTTTGAATGCTTGCTTATGCCCTTTTAATAAGTATTTAACATTAACGGATTAAAAAAGACGATCTTGTACGATAAAGTATGGTTGTTTAAGGTTCCTTTGAGATGAGTTTTCCCGCAGATTATCCCATGGTACTAAGCATAATATCAAAGCAACAGTCAGGTCAAGTTCTTGTATTGGTGTATGGTTTTACCAGTCGAATAGAACCCTTGCAACAATAAGATTATAGCTGTTAGTCAGTTGGGTTTTTTTTTTAATAATTCGAATTGTGTTTATTTTTCTAATAAGCACAAAATAGCAGATCAAGATACTTTTGAGCGTAGACGCCGCCAGGATTATTTTCTGGTGAGTGCAACTTTTATTTTGTCTGGGAAATGCCTTACGCATTCAGCAACGAGCGAGAAGAAGGTATGTGGTATCCTCCCTGCTCATTTCAGCACTTGGGCCGGCTGAAATGAGTAGGGCCCTACCTAACGACAGACGTCTACGACCATTTCTGGATGCTAGGAAGCTACGCCTCCGATGAAGGTCGAGTTGGAGGCGAAGAATTTTACTAGAAGGTTGGGATTGTCATTTGCGTTTAGGGCCATAGCGCAAGTATGTTTACATAGCGGCAAAATGGAAACACGACATAAGTTACCTTCCACATCTTTGGCAAGCAACCATACATAATGCACGGTTGCCGAAGGAAAATTCCATTCAAGTTCTGACCTATTCTCCCGATATGTTGTGCCTCCGCTCTCTCCTTTTGCTGTCTCTTGCCTTCTTGTGGGACCTCGTAGCTGTATAATACTTTTTCTTTTCCTATTTTAAATTCGGAGCCAAATACATTTAAGCCGAATGCCATGAATTACATGTCAACTGTTAAGCACGCGTATAGCGTTAACCTTACTTTATTGAGCCAAGGGTGGCAGCGGCCATCGACGGTTATTTTATGGTTTGGAATGAATAAATCCATCCCCATAAGTACCATGCCACTTACACAATCGGCACATATGTCGGGGTCATTACAGTAAAAGCAGAGCAGCTTCCACGGGTAGGACGCAAAAAAATTACGAACACTATCCCAATCTGCCCACTTACATTGCCAGACTCTGACCCCCTTATTAATAAACGAAGACTAAGCTTGGATTAGTTACTCTACGTTTTATATCTGTTTATTGAATGACAAATAGCCCTGAGTGACATGAACAAAACACGGCGTCGTAACTAGTCGAAGCTTATTCCTCGTTAACGTAAGGATAACAATGGTTCTCTCATTAGCTGGTGAGCGTATTGGACTAGCATTGGGGACTGTAGAATGAACGCGGCCAGAATTAGACTACCCTTATCACTTCGTTTGCGTCTAGATACCTTTATCTTTAAAAGTAGATCCAACAGGGATTATTAATGGCTTTCAATATTTGGGAGGCGAGAAAGCTGCGATACCATTTTGGGAAAAACCATGGCTCAGAGCAGTCATGAAAAACTCGATCCAGGGAGTCAACGGTGCCCAACCCAATCTGATATTTTATACGTAATTGCATAATTTAAATAAATAATATAACTAATATTTTAAGATATATTTTCACACTAGTGGGTGTCCGCGTGGAATTCGTGATTTGTGTAGTTTATTTTTTAATCAATTATGCGTCTTTAACAGTCTAAAATGGCAAACTTTATACTTTATTCCGATAAATATTCGTACCAAGTTTGAGTTCTATTAACTCAAAGAATAAGATTTAGCACTTGCCTAGGTACCGATCGCCGACTATTGCGTTGCACCAAATACAAATTTAAAAACCTATTAGGATAACCAGAGTCACGTTCCATATCTTTAAATGAGCCCTTATAAATTATAGAGGATGGTGGTATTCCACGTCCACCGTTTAGTTGGGATTTTAAAATCGTTGTTATTAAATCATACAAACATTAAACAATCTATATGGACATTATTATAGATTTTGAGACTTTGTAACCCCATTTTCAAGTCTGAAAAAACCTGAAACTATTGTTTAAATCTAAAGAAAATATAGGTAACTAGAAAAATTTCCACGCAGACCAGGCAGCAGACGGGACTCGCATCCTTCGCTATCCAGACGAATGCATTGTCACAATTTTTTTAAGCACGGTAATGCTTGATGTTTAAATCTAAAGAAAATATAACTAGAAAAAAAATCCAAAGTAAACACGCTATAACTATAACTTATTTATATAAATATTTGTGTCATTTCAATAGTCTATTAACTCAAGGAATAATATTTTTCATACAAACTTTTACCTCTATTTTAACCCCTTCGGGGATGACTTTTGAAAAAACCTTTCTTAGTGCACCTCTGGACCTCATAAGGAACCCACGTGATAAATTTGGATTCTTTAGACTTAGCGGTTTGGGCTGTGCGTTGATATGTCAGACAGTCAGTTTCTTCTTTTATATATTTAAGATGAGTTTGCATTTCGGCAGCCCAATGACTATCATCCCGCGGGTAAAAAATATGTATTTTTTCTATGTAGATACTTTCTTTCCTGCCCATAACTTCCTGCCGGCGCCCATGCTTATAAGGAAGGAATGGAATTATTTCTTCAACCTTATTGCAATATTTTAATGTATAAAATAAAATATATTAGGTATCAATATCACAAAGCCTTTAAATTAGGTTTTCACTTATATGTATAGGTACATTTATTTAGTTTGAGAAGTTCCCTAACAGAACTATGATACAATCATAATGATACCTTTATGTTAAGAGAAAACAATCTTAAATAGGTTAACACATTTTTGTCACTCTATTTATATAATTTGGAAAATCTAAAATGGTTTAAAAGGCTGCTACATAAGTAAATATTTCTAATTAAAAGATGAAACTTCTCACTTTCCTCAACATAAAGTCAATCATATTAAAGGAGATACTGCTTAACAAATCTAATAGATAAGCATGTAACTGCGTTATTTTAACGTTTGGTTAAAGAATATTGACTTAATATGGAGAAATGGAAGTTACCCAATCGAAGTTTTGTGTTAAGTATTTATTTCCTCTGTGTCTGGTTTAGAGATATATTAAAAAATGAACACAATTATCAGTTTTCAACTAAGACGTATCGTCAAAATAACAGTCGGTCTCCTCTTTTAACAGGGATTGGAAGTGAATTTGATACCTCAATAATAAACTCTTCACATAACAAACCGAATTTGGAAAAACATTAAATGTTTGTAAACAACTCCAGCCTCTCTTGCATGACCAGCAAAACACGATATGATAAAGCGTTTTATTAACATTGGCATTTTGTGTCGATCAAAAGCTTTAACATATTATATAATGATAGTCATGCATGCTGCAAGTCGACTTCCTAAAAAATAAGTTTTCGACAATCAAATTTAAAAAAAAAATGTATAAAAATATTTATTATCGCAACAAGATACGCGATATCTTTCACTGGTTTCTTTGGGCATCCCTTTAATAAGAACTTTATGTACCTTATCTGCGATAAAATAATCCACACATGGCACAAATACATTAAACGATCGCAATTACGAGAAAACTTGAAATTGAACAAAACAGCGTCAGCGTTAAGAGAATTTAGTCAGACTAAAGAAAGAGGAAATAATTGAATATAATAATTTACAAGTTATTTTATAGCAACATGTATTGTGTTGATTAGCAAATTTATTTTGATATTCTTATTAGGTATATTATAGAGTCACAGACCAATTACTTTAAAGAAGAGAATACTTGTTTACTGCTGTCTATTATACTTATGTTACCTTTTGATTTAATTGATGCATTGACGTAGAAAAAACAAGTAGACTCACTCAATCGCCGGAATAAAAGCGCGCGCTGGCGGCCAGCAAATTCAGCGTGGCCGCTTGCAGCCAAGTGCGCAAGCTGAGGATACTACAATACATTCATTTTGCTGAATTTTCTGGCCACCAGTGAGTACTTGGGCTAAGAACTCACGGCTCGATTTTCTCCCGCACCCGCCGCGGCTAGGTAGGTAAAATATATAATCAAAACTCAGCGCATTGTTTGCGGCATCCGTTGCGGGTGGACGCGACGGATTTTGCCCGCGGTGACTGCGGGACCGCAGAAAACTGCGGTCTCGTGAGTTTAAAATAAACAGCTCTGCGGCCACGCGGGTGTGTGAAAAAACCGCTCCGTGTGTTTAAGGCCGTATACAGAAAGAAAGCCGAAAGCCGATCGGCGCCGATCGGCGCTTATCGGCGCCGATCCTTCCTACATAAAGGAAGCCGATTAAAGCAGATCAAGCAAAATGTCGGACTCATCGGACGATGATTTGGTTTTGTTAGAAAATATTTATTTAAAAATGCGAAAAACAGCTATACATCCTATAAATAGAGAAAGAAAACGTTTCGGAGAATACCATCATTTATTTGTAAAAAAAATTAAATTTGATGAACAAAGATTTTATACATATACAAGAATGATTCAAGAAACATTTTATTACATTTTGGATTTAGTGAAAAACCGTTTGATGATAAATTGGGCAATTGGCATAAACAACCAATCCTTCCAGAAAAAGACTTGTTGTCACCATTCGGTAAGTACGAAACAAATAATTTTAGAGCTTAGTTAATAAAAGATAAAGTTATTAGATTTATAAAAAGATTATAACTTAGATTGATTTAATCTAAGGATAATAATTCAAATACAAATTATTTATTATTCGGACCAGCGCGTGTCGGCGCTTATCGGCGCCGATCGGCGCCGGTCCATAGAAAAAGGATCAGCGTCAATAGGCGCCGATAAGCGCCGATCGGCGCTGATCGGCGCCGATCGGCTTTCGGCTTTCTTTCTGTATACGGCCTTAGCCTAACAAAAGTGTATCAAAAACTTCCGAGCACCGCTGTGTTATACATAAATAAACATCAACTTATACAAAGATCATTTAACACATTTATTCAAATTAACACGTTATGTCGTGGCAGTAAGATTCAATGGCGATTGTTTGCAAGAGGGAAAAAGAGATATTTTTTGTGGTGCGAAAATGTCATACAAGAACACGTGATGCGCGGGGCATAAACGGGGAGACATATTTTGAGACAGAAAACGCCAAGATAGTCGGGTAATTTTGTTAATTTAAAAGGTCACTGACCTGATATACGACTACATGTTTTTTTAAGTGTAGATCTGGTGTCATTTGTATTTTTAACCGAACAATAAAATTTGTCGTTGTAATCAAAGCGCGGTCGAAACACGACTGTTTAAAAATTACGCACAATAGAAGCACGGTAATAGAAGCGTGTGCAATAAATGTGAGTCTACTTGATTTTATATGTCACCGAATTGATGTTACAAAAAGGGATATTTTAATTTTTAGTATTTGCCCTATAGCAACATATTACGGTAAAATAATCCTCTAAATTAGAATTTTATCCAAGAACAATATAAATCTGAAAATTTTGCAAAGATTACCAAAACTGTACATTACTCAATTTACTCACTATCTTATAGGGCAAATTTAAAATAAAGTAAACCATAACGTAGAATAAATTATAAATATCTAAGAGATATTCTAAGGAGCATGTCTTCTTCGAGGAAACATATTTTCTTCGACTACTATCACACCACAGAGTAGGTCATAGCCTGTACGGTTGTGACGGAAAACAAAAAGGACAACACACAACGGAAATAACAGAGAAATGAGGAAATTTTTCATTAGAGACCTAACAAGTGCTAAGCCAAATGATAGAGGTCTGCCAGGATAAAGTAATACAGTCTCCTTAGGACGACCTTCAACTGGAATAACGGCTGATGCAGTAACAACACGCAGCCCTAGTAATGCTTTCCCAGGAGTAGCACCACCAGTCCGTCCCACATTTCCACTCAAACAGATTGCCTAAGACCAAAACAGTATAATTAATAAAACAAATTAAAACTTTTCACAATAAAATGTGAGATATCTTGCTGTATTAGTGAGAATCTACACAGCTTTCAAACCTTTTAACCACCTGAATAAGGCAAATAGTTTAACACACATTATAACAATTTAATTAAAAACTATGCAATAGGTTCCGTGAAGGTAGGTTATAGGCATAAAGAAGTGGCCAGATGATCACATTTTTAAAAAGCTATAACTGTTGAAGTCCAGTCAAAATAAAGCTGTTATAATGGCCATAGCCATAGAGATTCTTTAAACAGATGTATATCTAATATTTCATAAGATCATCATCATACCCTGAATCGTACAACTTACGGCACAATTACATTTGGTCATTAGGCCATGCATATGTATATTAACGGAGTTGAATATGCCTGTATTGGGGTAGTTTTCAGTTTGGTTATACAACACAGTCTTCCAGTCCGTATAAAAAGTGTAACTATTGCTTCAGATGCTTAATTTGAATAATGTCTTTCGCGCTCCCTAATACAGGCTAATGACCAAGTGTAATTGAGCGATTAAACTGCACTACATGAGTGGACTCTTAGTAATAGGATACAGTCGATATGCATTCTGTATGAAACCCTAAAAAGAGATATTTGTATTTATATGTAACAATCTACCACATTTATTATGCTTTAATAATCCCACAAGGATATAAACAAAGAATTGAAAATTTTAATTATTTTCTTACCTCAAATATGCAAACCAGAACTCTGTATATGATTTCTAAGAACAGAATTTCAGAAGTGAGTTCCATTGCATATTTATAGTCATCATAGTGTTCACTGAACTTATAAAAATCAAACTTTTCCAAGTCTCTGAAATGCAGATAGGTCTCATGATTATAATATTTAATTAAAAAAGAAAATGCTGCAAATTTTATTTTCTTTTATTTCCTAATAAGTAGGAACATATTTATGTTTGCTTTTAATAAATAAGAATTATATGTACTTACATCAGTTCAAACATATCAACGGCAACAAATGTTACTAGCAGCTTTAAGATAAAAAGCAGAATGAAATCAATGAACTCAGCTAGTAGCCTCTTGTAAAGTGGTGGAATCATATATTCAAATCCCCCATGTCTTGCTATCACTAGAAATATTTTGAAAAGGGTTTAATTCAGTTTAAATTACTTACACAGTACTGTATATTAATTGTTACTAATATTTTTACACATACCTTCCACGGGAGTAAGCTGTTCTACAGGGACTTGGGGTTCTGGGGCATTGCGAGGTGGCTGGGGCACTTGAAATGGAAACTGTTGCCCCTGTAACTGGTAGTTATTGTTAAGAAGTGGTATGTTCGTTGGATTATTTTGCAGGCCTTGAAAGGTCATCATATAATAAGGAAAACATGTTGAAATGTTCTGGTACATTTGGGCTTGCTGAATCCATAGTCGTAAAGCCTGAAAGTAAGCTTCGCGTTCGTTAACAACAGGGGGCAAATCACTATCTCCGTTTGGTACACCACCTTCCCCTGCAGGCCCACTGTTTTGTATCAATCTTTCAGAGTCAGACATTTCTGTAATAATAATTCAAAGACCATATGAAACAAAACTTTTAATTTAACACTACACTTCGTATTAATAAAATAGGTACATATTTTCAATAAATAACAAACACGTCAGTTTTGTTTTGAGTTGGTAATTGTCACTGTCACCACACTCCACAGAGTTCTATCAATATTTTTTTATCAAGTTGGCTCTATTGGGATATGCAAAGGCATGGACATAACTACTAGCAGAGGCAATTCCCTTATAAAATGGCAATCCACTCTCAGTTCAAGAATACTTTTATTTAATGGTGTAAAGAAGATTGATTTAAATCTTCATTTCCTCATGTTCATCAAAAAATGAATTTACTAATACCATGAACTACTGAGTAGTAGAAATTACAAAACTTGTTCTGGTAATTCCGTCAAACTCAAATGTTAACGGTGACTAAAAGACTCGAATCCATAGTCGTGAATAAATTAATTTAAAAAAACAAATGTCACCGAAGGGGTGACGACCGGATGCGAACGAGCGAGTCAAAATGCGTGCGCAATAATGGTGGTGTGTGGACTTAACTATAAAATGTTAATCTAGAATTGGATAGATTGTAATAAAAGTGACTACATTAGTAACTGTGACATATTTGCGTAGAAAGTATCAAGTGTATTTTGAAAACTTTGATTTGTATACTAACGTACGATAGCCACAACTTTTGTGATCTGTTTTAGATCACTATTTTGTGCTAAATACAAAACTATGTGCTCAATGGTGGATTTCTAGTGCTAAATTGTAAGCCGACAACTGAAAATAATTTGGGATTATTTGTAAGTATAGCAGTAAAATTAAATAACAAGTCGAATTGGTAACCACTGGGCATGAGCACGGGCACGTTCTCCGGTGCCTCTTCATTGTTTATCTTGTTGCTTTTTCACGATTTAACCTATACTTAAAATTTTACACGCTTTCATAGCGTAAAATATCTATAAATTAATATTTTGTTGTTCAGATATTAAAACAGCACTGTTTCGTCTTTCGAGAATTTGTTACTATGAAGACATTAAAAAAAAGAAGCAGGTAGGTTTAAAAGCAGCCATAAAATTATTTTCTGCTACCTGTACCGGGTTATGACTAATTACTTATTATAATATTGTATTAAACTTTATGAGTTTTCTTTAAATGCTAGGTAAATAAAATAAGAAGCACACTGTTCAAGCAAGCAAAATTTTAAGTTGTACATAGAGTTACCAACTTTTTTTTCTATCAAATATAGTATTTTCGGAGCTAGAACCCGTAGAAATAAAGTAGATGGCAAAAAATATAGAAAGTGGTTAAAATATTTACTTTATTTTGGAAATGAGTAAATTTTTGCTGCTCTTTAACTCAATAATTCAGTTTTCATTTTAAGAAAACTTTTACTGGCATAAGTCTGCTTTAAGCAAGATATAGTAATTTTGCCTACTATATATATATATATATTTGAAATATAGTATTTGATTTGATATCATATTATAGTTAGGATACTATATTATATAGTAGGGTTGGCAACCCTACTTGTACACTACATTAAATTATGAAACCATTTAAATAGTTCATTCGCCAAGTAACCACAGACTAAAAATTTGAAAAATGTAAGATCCAGTTATCTTTTCAGTGAGAAAATCATAAGTAAAGACAATTACTGTTTTAATTCAGTTTATTTTATTTAAATTACATATGTTGGCATTTATGACCTCTTTTCTTATTACGCTATGCAGACTAGCCTAACAATCCCAAACAAATAATTATTCATAAAAAACAAAACTTTAGTAACAATATTTTTTCTGTGCAATTTTGAATTTAATGTTGTGCTGTTTTTAAAAACTACATTTGGTTTAATTTAACAAATTTTATATTTCTTATAATAAAATATTAAATTCGATTTGAAGACAAATAAAAGTTTTAAATACTCCCAAGATGGTAAAATAAATATTTTTATTTGTATTGTAATAAGTTATATAAAGTAAAATACTATTTTTTTATTTTTAATTGTATTTTTGTAACATTTGATAGTAATATATAATATAAGCAAATAAGTAAATATTATACTGTAATCTGCAAATACACCAATGAATAAAATGGTTTGTTACTTTGGTATATGGGAGTTTCTCAACAAACTCATAAATAAAAATTCTACTGTAAACCTACTTAGCAATTTGCGAATTGACAATGTTATTTCTAAGAGTTAAAAAAATTGGTAGTTTATGGTTAATCAAGACATTCTCAATAAACCTATCTGGTTTTTTTTTCATTTTCCTTCTTTTTCAGAGTCTTATTTTACAAACTACCTATGAATATTTGGGACAATATTGCTTTTTTCTTGATTTTTCTTATTTTTATTAATTATCAAAAACGAAAAGATTTTTTGAAATTATACCAAGTATTTCCTGAGATTACCATGTCCAACTGAACAAACAAACGAACTACAGCTTTATAATATTAGTATAGACAAGAAGAATGTGGGTAATCAATTAAGTATCTTTCTTTTCTCATTTATGGGTACTCAATTAAATGGATATTGCATATTAGTAAAAAAAATATATTACTTAGGATTGAGTATCCCATGCCATGTCATTGTAATTGTGTGAATAATATCGAGCCCTTACCGCCAAATTATCGTAAGCGACATTCGCCAAATTATCGTAAGCGACACTTTTGTCGAAATGCGTTTTTTGTGGAAACTAATATTTTAAACCGTAACGGACCCATCTCTGTTGATATTTCCCTCCAAAAGAACACCGTAATAATATAATAGAGGGAAGAATAGAGGGAAATAAATCGCAACAGAGATGGGTCCGTTACGGTTTAAAATATTAGTTTCCACAAAAAACGCATTTCGACAAAAGTGTCGCTTACGATAATTTGGCGGTAAGGGCTCGATATGATGTTTTTCTTATCATGTAGTTTATAAGTGAATAATAATAATAATATCATAAGATCAAGGTTACATGAAATTATTCAATCCCATATGTATATAAATTTAAGAAAATGCTTATAACTGGAAATTTATGATTTTTTCAAACCTTCATTTTTTAGATTCACATGCTCATTACATTACTAAGGTACTAACCAGGTTCATCAAATATTCTAAATTGCTTAGTATGCAAAATTACAGAGAATCTCTCCAATTTTATTATTATCTGATATTTCCTACAGCATAGGTAGTTCAGGATTGAGCAAACTTTTTCTATATCATGCCAATATTTACTATCAGAATTGATGTTAGGCTTAGTTTTAGCTTATGCCACTTACCCACCCTAGAATGAGTAAATAAAATAAAATTGAAATATAGCTCAGTAACGTATGCCCCCCACCATGCAGCTAGCAGCAGGTAAATTTGCCCCTGATTGCTATAAAGTCTAAAGGTAGGTACCAGGTTTGGCAGTGGGGTGGTCCTTGTACTTTTTAATCCGAATCTTTGATTTATGCTGTGTGGTTACGGGCCGGGTTCCACCATTCCAGGCCGGACATAGCCCACAGTCGTAATTTGCCCATTCCTGATCTAGGTCAACAATTTGCTCTGTCTCTAATGCTGGCACTTAACATGGCTTTTTGTATTAACTATTTTGTAAATTTGACAGTAGCCTTTTCATTCTCTATAGAGCATGTTAAAAATATACTGCTATCAAATGTACATATAGAAAATACTTTATATTATACATTGGCGCCGATGGGCGACTCCAACAATTAATATTGACGACGCATGGTCATTCAATTCTATCGCAATTCATTACGTGTTACTTAGGTACGTAAGCTACCCATTTATTCGTGTCTAGAATTTAAACTGTTCAGTGCAGTGTTATGTATGTACTTACAACCGATTTTACATTTCAACAGATGATGATATTTTTGGTAAATTCTCCTTTTTCTGGTCTCCCACATCCCATCATACAGGGATAGTCATGATAACGGGGTAAAGTATACGAAATTTCAGTCCGTCAGTCAAATTACTAAAAAATAATGGATATTTATTTTCTCTTTTGTCAATCAACCAAAAATTAAAAAGATATTGCGTATCAAAGTTTGTGACGTCACTTCTAAGTAAAAATTGTGGTGAGGTGACGTCTTACGACATTTCAAATCAATATATCTCGTCGCGAAAGAACAAAACATACACAAAAAAACAATTCGAAAACACCGTTGTGTTCACGACGGTACTTTACGGTACGGACGGTAACGTAAAATCGGCTAATGAAGACCTAAGATCGCTTTTATATAAAGATTCATGTAACTGTATGTTACACAATAAAACTTATAGTACAGAAGGTAATTCCATGTATTGTACTTTACTTCTCATAATATTTACGCTCGGCGATCGCGCTAAGATTGTCAACTTTGAATTGTGCACAAAAAACGTGGTAGCATCGCACTCGTTGTTTAATTTATTGAACAGAGAGAATGGAAATATAAACCAATATAATAACTAAAGTATTTTAATTTTATTGTTATGTTAGGTACAATTTAAAATTAATTGAATTCAATATAAAATTCAAACAGCCTACTGACCACTACTGATCTTTAATTTTTTTTGTGTCTCAAGCGAGTGGAACTCGCGCTCTCACTGGTCCCAAGCGGTCGAGATATCGTGTCAGTGAGCGATGTCTTTGTATGCGGTGTGCACTTAGTATTTAGATTACCTTCTGTACTATCTATTTTGTGGTTACACCTGTAAGTTTGTAGTAATCTCCCAACATTGTGATTACAGTATGTATTACCACAGCTAATCAGCTCAGGTTGAATGCAAATATTTATTGGGAACAATATTTGTTTGTTACCTGTGTTAAATGCGTATTGTGTGTGTTTCGAAAAGATACGATACTTTGTAACCTTCTATTCTTGTGTGTATATAAATACTAGGTACGTACGAATCACAAAATTATTTTCGTGATAAACCTCAATCTATTAATTCGCATTTCGAGTCCACTGACATTACCTTATAAACCCAGTTCGATTACTATTCTCATTTCGAGGCTCACATCTAAGTGTCACCGCACACGGGCCACACGCCACAGCCACAAACGCCGCCACGAGAAGCTAGAAGCGGCTACTAAAGTTTCAGAAGCGCGCGACAGGCAGCCGACTAAGATAAGGGAGGGAGGGGTGGGCAATCCCGCGAGTGACGGTTGGCGGCGTTTTGTATCGGCGCATTAAGTGGCCGGCACGGGCCACAAGAAGCGAGCAACGACGATTTGCAGCATGTGGCGGCCACCGGCGTACCGTGTGTGACGAGTCCATATAAAATGTATAAAAACTACAGGAAATATGCCGGTGGCGGCGTTTTGTGGTTGTGGTCGGTGGCCCGTGTGCGGCGACACTAATTCATAATATTGAGGGTCGAATCAGTGGATGTATTCTCTCACGTGATGACAACTTGTATTTAGAGATGGAGTGATGAATGATCCTTTGAAGCAATTCCTTCCAAGTATCTTTATGTGAGTCATCAGCTATTCGTGTTCCGGTGGAGATTTCATCTTTATGTGATTAGTCATGGGCGTTATTAGTTGTTATGCCATTGGGTTTGTGGGCGACCCGAACGAGTTTATCCCTCCCCTTGGGTCAGACAGTCAATAGCCATACCTATATTAACGATCATGGTCCAATAGATTAAATTTGAATAAAACGCTATTATTCGGAATGTTAACGTTTCATTTAATCCACAATTCGTCATGTTCATGCGTATTTGCAATTTAACGCTAAAATAAAGTTAGTAAACGTAATTAGTTCTACATTTTTATTGAATGTTTTATGTATTAAATTCATTGTAGGATTTGTGATTTTTAAAGGATTT